ACCCCGGAGGGGTCAGCCTGTTTGCTGGCAGCTCGTACTGTGCCTTCTCTGATTCTGCCTTGTCTGCCATAAGCTGTGTTATTGTTTCTTGTTTTTTCTTTAAATTAATTCAAATTTTAAATTTTAATAAATTCCTTTAAAAGGGAATCTTTTAACCTTGTAAATAGAAAGCCATAGCAGTTGCTGAAGTGGAAGGTAACCATAGCAATGCCATGCAAACAACCCCAAAGAGTTAAATTCCTGCCTCCCCGACTCCGGTGCCTGCTGAGGCTGCACTGGTCTGTGTTACCACAAGTCAGAAGGCACTGCGGGCACCCAGAGCCTAAGTCCTTCCCTGTACCAGGCAGGAGCCTCTCTCAGGCCCCTGGCGGCACGACTCTGCTCCCTGGAGCCAAAGCCTAGTGGACACACCGGAGTTGAGGAAGTTGGGTTGACTCTTCGCTGACTTGAGTGAGAGCGAGGCCACATTGGGGAACCAAGCGAGCTTGGGGAGAGGTGCAAGGAAGAACTATTACACAGTCTGGGCTTCAGCTGGGCAATTTGGAGGAGGGTCTAAGGAACCTCAAAAGGGTGAGCATTAAATAAGACAACCTCTCCAAACACCTAAGTCAGAGTCTGGCACATAGCAAGTGCATCGTCAGCATGGCTCCCTTTCTGCCCTGTTCACCACAGACCTGAGTACGTGGCAGGAAGCTGACATCTGCTCCTGGCCCATCTGGCCAGGCAGGAGCCGCAGGTCTCAGCTCTGGGGTGAGTGTCAGGGAGTGGCTTTGCCCACCTGCAGCCTCTGCCCTTGAGGAAATCTTGTGTGTCTCAGAAGAAGCTGAGGTCCCGAGGTTCAGCCCAGAGCCATTTCTGGGATGTGGCCCTGAGCACAACGTGGCCCTGAACACACACAGGTGTGCCACTGGGAGCTCTGTGTGAACGCAGGGCACAGCTCTTCTGGCTTCATTCATCTGTCATCTGACCCTGACCATCCTCTGGGGTCCCTCGAAGATAGAGGGATGGCTCTGCCCCCTGTGACAATGAAGCAGAAGGAGAGAAATTCTCAGTTGAATTATGAAGAGCATCAGGGGACTTCTACCCAGTGATTTGTGAACATTTATTGAGGGCTTTGTGTGTGTTGTTTTTCACACTCCTTTTTGTGTATATGAAGGTATTTTTAATTGAAACTTTATTGAGATAACTGTAGGTTCATAGGCAGTTGTGAGAAATAATACAGAGAGATCCCACATGCCGCTTCCCAGGTCGGCCCAATGGAAGCAGCCTGCAAACTAGAGTACAGGATCACAGGTAAGATATCAATAGTGACAGAGTCCCCTGATCTTATTCAGATGTCCCCAGCAGTGTGTGCATGCGTGCGTGTGTATGCTTTTGTGTGTTTTGCTGTACAGCTTTATCGCATAGGTAGGTTTGTGGATCTGTCATCACCATCAAGATCCAGAACACTTCCATCACTGGATTCCTCACTGCCCTTTGATGGCCACACTTCTCCTCCTTCCAGCTCACCCCTATCCTTAACCCCTGGCCCAATAATCTGTTCTGTTTCTAAAACATTGTCATTTCTAAATGTTATAGAAATAGAACTGCACAATATGTGACTTTCTGAGCTTGGCTCCTTGCATTCAGCATAATTCTCTGGAGCTCCATCCAGTTTGCGGTGCGGTGTGTATCTAGCCCTTCCTGTGGGTCTCTCCATCGTACTCCACAGCAAGGACACACCTGTTTGTTTACTCATTTGCCCAGTGCAGGACATCTGGGACATTTCCTATTTGGGGCTATTACAAATAAAGCTGCTGTGAGCATTCATGTATAGGTTTTAGTTTTTTGGGATAAATGCTCAAAAGGGCAATTGCCAGGATTAGGTTTTTAAGAAGTTGCCAAAGCGTTTCCCAGAGAGGCTACAGCATTTTACGCTCCCATCAGCCATGGGTGAATGATACAGTTTCTCTGCATTGTTGTTCATATTTAGTACTGTTCCTATTCCGTGTTTTCTGTCTCAGCCTCCCAGAGAGGCAGGAGTGTCCGTTCACTATGGTTTTCACTTGCATCTCCCTGACGGCAGTGATGTTGGACATCTCTTCATGAGCCTGCTCACCACCTCTGTGTCCTCTGGTGAAATGTCAGTGTACATCTTTTGGCCATTTTCTGACTAGATACTTTGCTCTTTGTTGAGTTTTGGAAGTGAGGGTCACTTGAATGCAGGGGACTAGGCCAGCTCTTTGACCTGACGTTCTGGGAGGAAGAGAGAGAAAATGCACCAGAAAATAAATAAATAGGATAATGTCAAAAGTTGTATGTGCCTTGAAGCACAGCAGTAGCTGAGATGGAGCTTGCATAGGGGTGGGTGATGGGGGAGAGACGCTTCTGGGACCTGACACCTGAGTGAGACCTGAGAGGGAGAAGTTGAACCTCCACATCTAGTGGGGGAAAAGTGTGCAGGTGGAGGCAGGAGTGTGTGCTCAGGAGTGGGGCAGAAGCACACAGGTGGGGTGGGGTGTACAGGTGGGGTGAGGGGTGTGCAGGTGGGGTGGGTGGTGTGCAGGTGGGGTGGGGGGTGGATAGATGGGGTGGAGGGTGTGCATGTGGTGGGGAGGGTGCAGGTGGGTGGGAGTTTACAAGCGGGGTGGGGAGTATGCAGGTTGGGGTGTGCAGGTGGGGTGGGGGTGTACAGGTGGAGGGGATGTACAGGTGTGGGAAGAGTGTGCATGTGGAGGGGTGTGCAGGTGGGATGGGGAGTGTGCAGGTGAAGGGAGCAGCAGGTGCAAGGTGGTTGTGTGGGAGCGAGCCAGGGAGTGTGGAGAGCAGAGTAGGTTGGTGATGGGCAGATGAACGGCTGGCTGGGGTCAGGCAGGGTTTAGCTGTAGGGGAGGACCCAGGTACTGGGGTTTTATTTGAAATGCAGCAGGAAGTCGTGGGGGCTCCAAGCAGGGGTGAAAGGGATGTAATCTGTGTTGGGGTCTCCTCACTGATCCAGCTCTCCTATTCAACTCACCTTCTGGCACAGCGGCACCATGGAGTGAGGGGGCTCATGTGTTCACTCTCTGGGCTCCCTCCCTTCACTGCCTAAGAGTTTCCCAAGTCAGAAGCTGGGCACTTGGTGTCGCTATTAAGATTACTGGATAGCTGTCAGACCCTCTTCCAGATAGACAGGCCTGCAGGTAGGGGGAGGCCCAGGGCTCCTGCCACCACCTGCTGCCCAGCCCTCTCCGCTGGGGAGAGCACACATACAGGCGCTCCTTAGCCAAGGAAGGCAACAGGACATTTCGTGAACTGTAACTCTGACATGGTTAGGGGGCTTGGGAGCCCCTCCCCAATATGCACATCTCTCCAGGGGCCTGCCCAGCAGCACAGCTTGTGGCCAAGACCACCTAGACTTTGGAGCCAGGGGACCCCGAGTACAGTGTGGCCCTGGCATTCTCCAAACTTCCCCAGGACTTAGTTTCCTCACCTTTAAAATGGGGTGCTGTTGCTGACCTCAGGGGCTGTCTTGATGACACGGAGGCCCAGAACAGATTGCACAGAATGGCTGAAGGGAGCTTGTCCCTGCCCTGTGGGCCTCCCAGCCTTCCCAGGAGGACGGAATCCTGGGCTACAAGACCAAATCTCTGTGACAGCCCCAGGCTCCCGAGGGCAGCCCGGCAGCCAGCACCAGCACCATCCTGAGATGAAGCAGGTCCCCACACATAGACCCTGCCAGTGGCTCTGAGTTGCACATGTTTCTTCCTGTGATGTTCCCCACCAAACCCCTGTGCAGGGCTTGCAGCAAAGAATGTAGGGCACATCTGTACCTTTGTCTTATCCCCCATTTCAGGAAAGCCCCCACTGAGCTAATGAAGTGCCAGGGCCCATCTTCCCCCTACCACCCACTTCCTGGACTGAAATAAAGACTTTATTCATTGAGGCCATTTCTCTCCTGAATAAGATCATTAATAATGGAGAAGGTCCTCTGATAGGCTGGGCAGGACCTGTGTGTGTGTGTGTGTGTGTGTGTGTGTGTGTGTGCGCGTGCGCGCGCACGCGTGCGCTGTGTGTATAGGAGGTCTCCCCCTCGCCCCTGCCCACCCTGTTTCTGCCCCATCAGCATGGTGAATGCTCACTCTTGCTGCAGCTCTGAGCACCATCGACCCTCATCATCAGGGTGAGCCTGGAGAGGGGAGGAATATGGGGTGTTGCCGAGGGTGTGTGTTGGGGAGGTGGCTTGGGAGTGACAAGTACAAGAGGGAGATCTGGCAGCTGGGGCCTGGCTAGGGAAGGCCCCCAAAGTCGGGATAAGGGGTTTGGATATTGCCCTGTCTGTGCAGTCACATCACCAAAAGCTGGCAAGGAGGCCCACTGCCCTGCCCTAAACATGAACTGGCCTCATGAGGCCGTGAGCCAGCTCAGCAGCTGCTGGGGTCTCCTGCCTGTCTGGAGCCTGCAGGAAGCACGAGGCCAGCTTCCCCTCACCAGGACATTTGCACAAACTCCAAAATATCAGGCACATCTGTACCTTTGTCTTATCCCCCATTTCAGGAAAGCCCCCACTGAGGGCATGAAAGTGTCTAAAAGGCCAGAGGCTTCTTCCCCAGCACTGCTGCACAGGAATGAGTCGGATGACCGGATGCGGCTGGCAGGGCGTCTGTGTGGGAGGCTGGGGTACACAGAGTCCGGAGTGGCCTTGCTTGTCATTCTCAGCCCACTTCTCTAATCTGGAGTCTTGGGGCTGCTTTTCTAGTGGACACTGTGCCTGCGAGGTGGCCTTGTCCCGCAGTGACAGAGGGCTCTCAGAGAGAGTGGGGCCACTGAAGGGTGGGACAGGAGATGACCAGTGCCAGGGCTGACAGAGACCTGCGAACTCTCCATGGGACCAGGGGCTCCTGGCACACACCCCTAGAAAGCAAGACCCTGGGGGAAGTCAAGGACAGCCTTGCCCCAGAGGCCCGAGCCAGCCTGGGGACAACCTGGAGGTGCCCTCTGTGAGCAAGGACTCAGGGCTGCTCTGCCTGTTCCTGTTGTAGGAGGTGATGAAGGTATCAGATGGCAGCCTCCTGGGGGACCCCGGGCACACCCCGCTAAGCAAGAAGGAGGGCGTCAAGTGGCAGAGGCCACGGCTCACGCGGCAGGCCCTGATGCGGTGCTGCTTGGTCAAGTGGGTCCTGTCCAGCACAGCCCCTCAGGGCTCAGGTAGGGGCTGGGGGCGGGCTTGGGGCCGGGTGGGGTCTGCCCTGAGCTCCTGTCTGGGGGCTCAGAGACCACCCCGGGAACACCAGCCCAGGGCACATCACCTCTGCCTCTGATGAGAGGTGCATTTCCATTTGTTCCTGCTCTACCCCCATTCATTGAGCACCTGCTCCTACAAGGCACTGAGCTCAAGGCAGGACCCATGGGGGTGGGGACAGAGGACTGTGACTTTGCTGGGTGTTCCATGTGGGGGCTGGGAGGATAGCACCAGGCTGCAGAGTCCAACAGGCCCAGCTCACTCCGCCCACCCGCACCAGATGAGTAACCAAGCTGGGCGACTCACTCATGCTCTGTAGAAGGGGTGTAGATCCCCATGGGCAGGGCACATTTGAAGATAGGAACTAATGTGTGCAGAGGCCTGGTGAAGAGGGTGCCCTGGCCTGGGTCCTGCCCAGAGCCCCTTCCCCAGTGCAGCTTTCTGCGTGTTGGGGAGGGACTGGCAGAAATGGCTGCCCTGTACTCCTTGCTGGTGGCATCTGGTGTTTGCTGAATGTGATGCAGCCAGAGATGCAGAGGTGGCTGCGTGCAGCCCCTGCACTCTTAGACTCGTGCACATACCACATGCTCATACGCACACCCACCCACCATGCACCACGCCCACTCGTATGATCATACACACAAGGTGCAGTGAGTCCACCTCCTTTACTCTAAGAAAAAGGTGCAGACACGTCCCCCTTGTTGCACATCTTGTTGGTTGTCTCAGCTGCTGTCTGTGTGATTTCCAAGAGCCTCAGTCCCCTTAACTGGAGAATGGGCATAATCATGCCCCCAGCCTCCCAGGCTCCACAGGGACAGGGCATGGAAGGGATCACCTGGGGGCAGGGCCAGCATCCGGCGCAGCAGCTGGCAGTCACCTCCATCGCGTGTGAGGGGAAGTGGCTGCACAGGCCAGATCCTTGTCCTTTATCTGAAGCCCTGCTCCAGGGTGCTCCCGGGAGACTCCATCCCTCCCTCTGCTTCCCCGGAGTCCCTGTCCATCTGTGCTGCCCTGTCACCCTGGCTGACATTTGTTCTCCACCCTTCCCTTCCCCACAGTGGCCTCTCTTAGCCACACTGGTGCACATGAACATCTATGTGGGGCCACGTGCACTCCCAACTTCTTGGGGGGATAGATTCTGCCTGTGGCAGAAATATGAAGACAGTAAAAGTTCATGCAAATAACTGGGAAGCTCACATCTTCATGGTACTGTTTTTTCTGCGATGGGATAAAAATAATCCAGGGAGAAGCCAAGAGCAGAGGTAAGCCAGGACCCCTCCGCGCAGCCAGCCATGTGCGCCGGTGGGCTGGGGTCAGCTCCCACTGACCTGCCTAGCATTGTTGAGGCTCAGATTCCCTCCAGGCCTACATCATCCAGGGTTTTCTTGGCAGTGGTGCATACTTCGCCTGTGGACTTTGCAGCCCTCCTGGTCTTACTGTCTCTGCATCACCTGCCCTGATCCTCTCCTCCCTGCTCTCCCACCCCAGGCCTCTCTCCTGGTGGGCCCTGGCTCCAATTGCTGGCATTTAGGCACACAGTGGTGCTTCATGACAGGGCTGGGGTGGGGTGCACCACCCCCTTGCTGAGGCTTTTTGCACACTTGAGTCTGGGTGCACCCAGAGAAAACTGAGGTGAGGAGCAGGCTTGGTGAGTTCAAGGTTGTAATGAGAGGGGGCCGAGTGGACCACCAAAGGGACCACACCCATGTGTCCCTCCTTTAGCTCAGGGTGGCTTCCTAGAGGGAGGGCATTTGACACTGGGCTCAGTGAGCTGTCAGGCTGTGCGGTAAGTTCCTGCTCTACCCCCATTCATTGAGCACCTGCTCCTACAAGGCACTGAGCTCAAGGCAGGACCCATGGGGGTGGGGACAGAGGACTGTGACTTTGCTGGGTGTTCCATGTGGGGGCTGGGAGGATAGCACCAGGCTGCAGAGTCCAACAGGCCCAGCTCACTCTGCCCACCCGCACCAGATGAGTAACCAAGCTGGGCGACTCACTCATGCTCTGTAGAAGGGGTGTAGATCCCCATGGGCAGGGCACATTTGAAGATAGGAACTAATGTGTGCAGAGGCCTGGTGAAGAGGGTGCCCTGGCCTGGGTCCTGCCCAGAGCCCCTTCCCCAGTGCAGCTTTCTGCGTGTTGGGGAGGGACTGGCAGAAATGGCTGCCCTGTACTCCTTGCTGGTGGCATCTGGTGTTTGCTGAATGTGATGCAGCCAGAGATGCAGAGGTGGCTGCGTGCAGCCCCTGCACTCTTAGACTCGTGCACATACCACATGCTCATACGCACACCCACCCACCATGCACCACGCCCACTCGTATGATCATACACACAAGGTGCAGTGAGTCCACCTCCTTTACTCTAAGAAAAAGGTGCAGACACGTCCCCCTTGTTGCACATCTTGTTGGTTGTCTCAGCTGCTGTCTGTGTGATTTCCAAGAGCCTCAGTCCCCTTAACTGGAGAATGGGCATAATCATGCCCCCAGCCTCCCAGGCTCCACAGGGACAGGGCATGGAAGGGATCACCTGGGGGCAGGGCCAGCATCCGGCGCAGCAGCTGGCAGTCACCTCCATCGCGTGTGAGGGGAAGTGGCTGCACAGGCCAGATCCTTGTCCTTTATCTGAAGCCCTGCTCCAGGGTGCTCCCGGGAGACTCCATCCCTCCCTCTGCTTCCCCGGAGTCCCTGTCCATCTGTGCTGCCCTGTCACCCTGGCTGACATTTGTTCTCCACCCTTCCCTTCCCCACAGTGGCCTCTCTTAGCCACACTGGTGCACATGAACATCTATGTGGGGCCACGTGCACTCCCAACTTCTTGGGGGGATAGATTCTGCCTGTGGCAGAAATATGAAGACAGTAAAAGTTCATGCAAATAACTGGGAAGCTCACATCTTCATGGTACTGTTTTTTCTGCGATGGGATAAAAATAATCCAGGGAGAAGCCAAGAGCAGAGGTAAGCCAGGACCCCTCCGCGCAGCCAGCCATGTGCGCCGGTGGGCTGGGGTCAGCTCCCACTGACCTGCCTAGCATTGTTGAGGCTCAGATTCCCTCCAGGCCTACATCATCCAGGGTTTTCTTGGCAGTGGTGCATACTTCGCCTGTGGACTTTGCAGCCCTCCTGGTCTTACTGTCTCTGCATCACCTGCCCTGATCCTCTCCTCCCTGCTCTCCCACCCCAGGCCTCTCTCCTGGTGGGCCCTGGCTCCAATTGCTGGCATTTAGGCACACAGTGGTGCTTCATGACAGGGCTGGGGTGGGGTGCACCACCCCCTTGCTGAGGCTTTTTGCACACTTGAGTCTGGGTGCACCCAGAGAAAACTGAGGTGAGGAGCAGGCTTGGTGAGTTCAAGGTTGTAATGAGAGGGGGCCGAGTGGACCACCAAAGGGACCACACCCATGTGTCCCTCCTTTAGCTCAGGGTGGCTTCCTAGAGGGAGGGCATTTGACACTGGGCTCAGTGAGCTGTCAGGCTGTGCGGTAGTTGGGGGGATGGGGAGCAGCGCCCAGCCCGGCACTCCCCTGCACGGACATGTTGCCAGACTCCATGCCAGGCACAAGAGGATAGGGGAAGCATGGAAAAACAGGATCCTCTTTGTTGGGTGAGGCAGGCATTTTGGATCACTCTGTTTTAAGGAAGAGTTCAGGGAGGTCACATGACTCAGCAGGTCACAAGGGCAATAGGTGCCAAATGAGGGCTCTGGCTGGGAGCATTTTCCATGGGCTCCGGGCAGGGTGCCCACCTGGAGTGTTTCTTCCGTGTCTTTACTCTCAGAGCTGAGGGAAGAGGGAGCCTCTGGGGTCAGTGGAGGCAGCAGCCACCCTCAAACTTGAGGAGTCGGGACACCAATGGACCCTTGGTCTCCCATGGGCATAACTTCAGGCCTCATCTCCTCAGTCCAGACCTGTCCCTGCATGTGCCTCAAGGATGGCACTGCCAGCCTGGCCACCCTGAGGGCTTTGTACATGTGTGAGATGCTGAGCTGGGCACAGATGAGGTGCCCTGCTGCTACAGGAGCCCCCATGGGCTCTGGGTGCAGGGAACAGTGGCGCTATTCAGCACAGCTCTGTCTGTGCACTTAGTGAGGCCCAGCCGTGCTGTCCTGGGCAGCAGGTGTCTGTGCGGGGGCAGCAGAAGGCTAACACTGCATCCTTGTTGCTGGGGGTTTTCCACTCAGCCCAAGTGACCAGAGAGACCTGTTTCTGGGATGGTGGGAAGCAGAAGCCAAGGCCCAGGCCCAATAGGATGCAGGGGGTGTCCCTGAGGCTTGGGAAGTGTCATCAAGGAGTGAGTGGGTCTCAGGGGCTGGGAGTGCTAAGGGAAATGGCTGGACTAGCTGCCACCACACCCTGGCAGTCACTCCTGGGCTGTGAAAGCTCCAGCGTGGATTTGGGAGCCGGTCAGCAGTGACAGCCTCTAAGATGGATGAGCCCAGGAAGTGGGAGTACAGGGCAGGGGTGCCCACTCATGGCCAAGGAGTGCATCCCTCCCCAACACTGGGGTCCCATCCCTAGTGGCCCAGAGGCTGGGACTCTGACCTGCTCTGCATGCCTCCCAGCCTCTGAAAGCCCTTCCTGTCAGGATGCCAGGTGCCTCTCCCCCAGCTGGACAGACTGGCTTCTCAAGTCTGGCTCCCCGCAAGGGCAGTGGGAACTAGGTTATTTCAACTAAAACTGCAATAACTTCACCACAGAATAACAGGGACCTTGGTGGCAGACAACTGAACCCAGGCTGGCTGGGTTAAGCAGAGAGGCATTAATTCTAGGCTATTGGGAGGTTTGCAGAAGCCCTGGAGGATGTGAGGCAGAGGCCTGGAAGTGGCAAGGCCAAGGCCCTGCCTGCTGTTCTAGAAAGTGCTCTACAACCCAAGACATACTTCCGCCCCTGCCCCCAAAGTGGAGACCCAGATTCTCATCAGCTACTGCATTCACCCCTGGCTGTCATTTCTCCTGAGCTTCTGTCAACCTC